TTTAATGTCTAAGTAATATTCTAGGCGCATTAAATGTATGTTTAATGTTTTTTAAAGACCTGAGCACAATAGAGAAAATATTAAGAATAGGAATAAATATCAAACATTAAGCTTAGTTTATAATCCCAGATAACTAAGACTGAGTGAGCATATTTTGCAAAGTCTGCAATAACACATTATACCAGTACAATCCCACACAGAACATGACGTCTATTAGAGATCCATACAACATCCACAGCTCCATCTCCATCATGGATAATGGATGGACATCTAATGCATATCTACGCTACGTCTACTATAGATATCCGTAAAAAATCTATTATGGACATCTATTAGACGTATATTATAGATATTTAACAGATATATTTTTCAAGACTTAATAAATTATTAAAAAATATATATTTGCCGTGCTTTTCATTATATTTACCTACCTGAGCGTTTATTATTGCATAAAACATATTTATGTAGCTCCGTGCAATATTTATCTCTATGATAAATGACAGATAGACGTATAAATGGATGTTTATATTAAATCCATTATTATTTTGGAGAACTTATTTAATTATTAATAAGAGTGATGATGCTATGTAAGCAGTGCGCACTAGTACAAGGCGCAGGCTACCGACTTCGCTGTTTGTGTTTGTGAGAAAAGTGAGAAAATAAAAAATGTGCGCGTATGATATAATAAAAAAAGTAAGTATAGCAATTTTATTAATTTTATTAATTTTATTATTGATAAGACGGTGTCTCGCGTGGCAGTGTACGTCTCAGGTGGCATAACCTCGAAAAAAAAAAAAAAAGAAAAAAAAAGGAAGCTTCTGGAAAAGTAGACTCTTAACGCCATGACGGACGTCTCACCCGAATTGGTGCAAGCGCTCTCGAGTCTTCTCGCCAACGCGATTCAGGCNTCTACGGCGAACATAGCCGCTTCTTCGGGCGCCGAAACAGTGAGTTCATCAGGGTTACCCCTGGCAGCGTCGTTCAAAACACCGACTTTCACGGTACCGGAATATCACTCGACGGACGGAACAACAGTCTGCGATTACTTTCAGCGTTTCGATTGGGCNCTTCAGTTAAGTAAAATTCCTGTTGATTTACATGCGACATACGCTCGAGTGTATATGGGGGCTGAGTTAAATAACGCCCTAAAGTTTTTAGTTAGTCCACGCTTGCCTGAGAGTCTCACGTACGACGAGATACAAACAGCGCTCGTGAAGCATTTTGATCGTGCAAGAAACAAGTTTGCAGAGAGTATTAAATTTCGCCACATTGTACAAAGCGAGGATGAGACGGTCGCTAGTTTTGTACTTCGCCTTAGGCGGGGCGCAGTCTATTGCGATTACGGCGCTTTCCTAGATCGGATGCTGATTGAGCAGTTCTTGTGTGGGCTGAAATCAAAGGAGATGTGTGATGAGATCNCCTACCTGAGCGTTTATTATTGCATAAAACATATTTATGTAGCTCCGTGCAATATTTATCTCTATGATAAATGACAGATAGACGTATAAATGGATGTTTATATTAAATCCATTATTATTTTGGAGAACTTATTTAATTATTAATAAGAGTGATGATGCTATGTAAGCAGTGCGCACTAGTACAAGGCGCAGGCTACCGACTTCGCTGTTTGTGTTTGTGAGAAAAGTGAGAAAATAAAAAATGTGCGCGTATGATATAATAAAAAAAGTAAGTATAGCAATTTTATTAATTTTATTAATTTTATTATTGATAAGACGGTGTCTCGCGTGGCAGTGTACGTCTCAGGTGGCATAACCTCGAAAAAAAAAAAAAAAGAAAAAAAAAGGAAGCTTCTGGAAAAGTAGACTCTTAACGCCATGACGGACGTCTCACCCGAATTGGTGCAAGCGCTCTCGAGTCTTCTCGCCAACGCGATTCAGGCATCTACGGCGAACATAGCCGCTTCTTCGGGCGCCGAAACAGTGAGTTCATCAGGGTTACCCCTGGCAGCGTCGTTCAAAACACCGACTTTCACGGTACCGGAATATCACTCGACGGACGGAACAACAGTCTGCGATTACTTTCAGCGTTTCGATTGGGCCCTTCAGTTAAGTAAAATTCCTGTTGATTTACATGCGACATACGCTCGAGTGTATATGGGGGCTGAGTTAAATAACGCCCTAAAGTTTTTAGTTAGTCCACGCTTGCCTGAGAGTCTCACGTACGACGAGATACAAACAGCGCTCGTGAAGCATTTTGATCGTGCAAGAAACAAGTTTGCAGAGAGTATTAAATTTCGCCACATTGTACAAAGCGAGGATGAGACGGTCGCTAGTTTTGTACTTCGCCTTAGGCGGGGCGCAGTCTATTGCGATTACGGCGCTTTCCTAGATCGGATGCTGATTGAGCAGTTCTTGTGTGGGCTGAAATCAAAGGAGATGTGTGATGAGATCATCGCAAAAAATCCAGTGGCATTTTTCGAAGCATATGAAATTGCGAATTCTCTTGAGGCAACGCGGGTCACAGCGGACACCATCAAAACGACTCCGGCTGGACCAAACAGTGGTATTCAGAAGCTAAGCGTAGTTCCAGTTAAAGTGAAACACAGTAAGAAACAACCTCGCACCCGATCGTTATCTCGCGGTCGAGGGAGTCAAGGCGCGCACCCAAATACACGCAAGGGCCAAAACAAGGGTCAGTCCCCCTGCAATGGGTGTGGTGGTCCACACAGACGGGATCAGTGTAAATTCCGTGATGTTACGTGTCACAATTGCCAAAAGAAAGGACACATTGCGAAGGTGTGCAGAGCCAGGAGAGCAACGGAAACCACAGATCAGGTGGCAGTATCCTCACAACCGGCAGAGCATGTCGATACCCTTCAGTCAATTAATACGATTCAGGTGAAGGAGCCAGCCGATGCGATGCGTAAACGAGTACTAAGTGTGAAAATTGATGGCCGACTTGTTGATATGGAACTTGATACGGGAGCACCGTGTAGCGTAATCAGTGCACAGACTCTGCGTTCAATTAAACCGCATTTTACTTTGCAGGCCACCACTCGACGCTTTGCTAGTTATACGGGCCATGCTGTTAGTTGCATCGGGCGTGTTTTAGTCAACGCGACAATCGGCTCGACAACCAGGAGACTGTACCTGTACGTGGTCGAGGGTCTATTTGATACTCTTCTTGGAAGAGAGTGGATTTCACATTTCGCCAGTGAAATAGACTTTAAGGATCTCTTTTCGGAGTCGACTGGGGTCCATGCGTTGTCCGTTGCCGCGCCACAGTTGTCGACAGCCCAACATAATCGCTTGAGCCAGCTACTTTGTCGTTATGAGGACGTTTTCAGTGAGGTGCCGGGAAAGCTTGTTGGCCCGCCAGCCAAGGTGCATTGGAAACAAGGAGCATCACCTGTCTTTGCTAGAGCGCGTGAAATACCGCTTGCGTTACGAGATGCTTACGCCAAGGAAATTGATGCTAAGATTGCATCAGGTTTTTACGAACGGGTTGAGTATTCAGAGTGGGCATCGACTACCCACGTAGTAGTCAAAAGTAATGGCAGGTTACGAATCACCGGCAATTATAAGCCGACACTGAATCCGTATATGATCGTGGATGAGCATCTTATTCCGCGAGCCGATCATCTTTTTCATCGAATGAGAGGCGCAACTCTCTTCTGCCACTTGGACATTACAGATGCGTACACGCATTTACCTGTAGACAGTGAGTTCAGCCAAGCGCTAACATTAAACACACCAACACATGGACTAATACGACCCAAACGTGCGGTCTATGGTGCGGCTAATATACCCGCAATCTGGCAACGCCGTATGGAAACCGTTTTGCGAGATCTGCCCAATGTTTTAAGTTTCTTTGATGATATACTCGTATTTGCAGAAGGATTCGAAAACCTCTTGTCTGCTCTAGACACCACACTGGAACGAATTAAAGCCCATGGTCTTAAACTGAACCGGAAGAAATGCGTGTTTGCAGCACCGTCGGTGGAATTCCTGGGACACAAAATAGACGCCAGCGGCATACATAAATCAGATAAGCATATTGCAGCCGTCAGAGACGCGCCTAAGCCATCTACCCGTGAGGAATTGCAGTTATTTTTGGGCAAGGCTACCTATTACAGCTCTTTTATCCCAAATTTGTCAACGCAAGATCGACCTTTGAGAGACATGTTACGGACGGAATCACTTGTGTGGTCTTCAGCAGCGAATAAGGCATTTCACGATATCAGAGAGGCTCTTATTTCCGAACNTATTCCGCGAGCCGATCATCTTTTTCATCGAATGAGAGGCGCAACTCTCTTCTGCCACTTGGACATTACAGATGCGTACACGCATTTACCTGTAGACAGTGAGTTCAGCCAAGCGCTAACATTAAACACACCAACACATGGACTAATACGACCCAAACGTGCGGTCTATGGTGCGGCTAATATACCCGCAATCTGGCAACGCCGTATGGAAACCGTTTTGCGAGATCTGCCCAATGTTTTAAGTTTCTTTGATGATATACTCGTATTTGCAGAAGGATTCGAAAACCTCTTGTCTGCTCTAGACACCACACTGGAACGAATTAAAGCCCATGGTCTTAAACTGAACCGGAAGAAGTGCGTGTTTGCAGCACCGTCGGTGGAATTCCTGGGACACAAAATAGACGCCAGCGGCATACATAAATCAGATAAGCATATTGCAGCCGTCAGAGACGCGCCTAAGCCGTCTACCCGTGAGGAATTGCAGTTATTTTTGGGTAAGGCTACCTATTACAGCTCTTTTATCCCAAATTTGTCAACGCAAGATCGACCTTTGAGAGACATGTTACGGACGGAATCACTTGTGTGGTCTTCAGCAGCGAATAAGGCATTTCACGATATCAGAGAGGCTCTTATTTCCGAACAAGTTCTTATGCCTTACGACCCAAAGCTACCACTTGTACTAGCAACAGATGCAAGCAAAACAGGCCTAGATGCAGTCCTGTCTCATCGACTGAGCAATGGTCTGGAACGGCCTATTGCCTATGCAAGTTGAACAATGACATCGACTGAACAGCGCTACCCTCAGATTGACAAGGAGGCGTTGGCAATAGTGTGGGCGGTACAAAAATTCTTTCATTACTTGTATGCACGCCACTTCACACTCATTACGGATCACAAGCCTCTAGTGCAAATCCTCCATCCAACAAGATCTCTACCGGTTTTGTGCATCAGTCGTATGGCAAATTACGCAGATTACCTTGCACACTTTAATTACGATGTCGTGTTTAGACCAACTAAAGCCCATACTAATGCAGATTACTGCTCGCGCTTACCGTCGTTACCCACAACCAGTGCGGTGCACTCACTAACTATCGAGAAGCAGCCGGAAACGATCGATGATGTTCTCACATCGTTTGTCCTTTGTCAAGTTAATCAACTGCCGGTACGAGCAACTCACGTCGCACGCGAGACGAAGAAGGATGTCGAGTTGGGAAAGTTAGTTCGACTACTAGAGGAAGGTCGCGACTTGGGCCGTTATGGATATAAGGCACCAGAAGCGAACTATACATTGGTCTCTGGTTGTTTGATGTTCGAGCATCGGGTGGTGATCCCACCGTCGTTACAGCAGGCAATCCTGTGTGATCTCCATTCAGCACATGTCGGGATTGTCAAGATGAAAGGCATTGCTCGTTCCTTCGTCTATTGGCCTGGTATTGATAGAGCAATCGAACAGAGTGTCAAGTCCTGTGGGGAGTGTGCGAAACATGCTAGTACGCCAACACGGTTTCTGGATCATCATTGGGAGTACCCAAAGGGCCCATGGGAACGGGTTCATGTTGACTATGCAGGACCAGTTGCGGGCTCGATGCTGTTGGTAGTTGTCGACGCCTACAGCAAGTGGCTTGAGGTTAAGCCTACCAAGTCTACTACTACGCAGGCTACAGTTCAACTCCTGGATGAGTTGTTCTCAACATATGGGTCACCAGTTACCATTGTTTCAGATAATGGTACTCAGTTTACAGCTGGTGAGTTCAGTCAGTTCCTCAAGCAAAGCGGAGTAAAGTACCATAAGCGAACAGCTCCGTATCATCCTTCGACGAATGGCCAAGCTGAGAGGTACGTGCAAACAGTAAAAAACGCGTTGAGCGCAATGGGAACAACACCAGCGTCGCTGCAAGAAAATCTGAATAAGTTTCTGCGTCAGTATCGTCAGGCCCCACACGCCACAACGGGACAGTCACCTGTCCGGTTGTTCTTGGGCCGCAGTTTGCGTACGCGACTCGACTTGGTGCGATCAGAAGAAGTCGGAGTCAGAATCATGGAAAAGCAACGAGCGGAGTTTGAACCCTTGTTTCGCAAGTTTCGTGTAAACCAAGCTGTGTATTTTCTTTCAGGCAACCCAAGAATGGACAAGTGGGTTCCAGGCAGGGTGGTCACTCGACTGGGTGACCTTCACTACGAGATCGACTATGGTGGTAGGCGCTTCAAACGTCATGTTGATCAGATGCGTGACCGTGTGGAGGGAAAAGTCCCTGAGCAGCCTACCGCGACTGGCCAGCCGAGCGGTGGCCTTGGTGCGACGGAGTCGCCTCGGCGGGTTCATTTTTACGGGAACTCGGCGTTGGAGGTTACAGGCACAGAAGTTCGACCGGAAGCGGCTCCGCTAATGACCAGGACAGAGTCGTCGTCGGCGGTCGCGGACTCAACGAGACGAGCTCACGCTTCTCCGTGTCACCAGGGCCCGACGGCTTCCGGTGCCCTGCGCCGTACAACAAGGGTCCGCCGCCCGCCTCAAAGATACACTCCTGCTTAAGAGGGAGTACCCCCCTAGTTCGTGTCGGGGAGGAAATGTTGTGTATGGTGCCTGTGGGCCTAAGCGGGCCTTCTGTTGAGAACACGCTCCTAAGGTCACGTGACTCGTTGTCACGTTCTATCTTATCGGCACTGCGCGCTATGTATCTTCTTTTTCTTCTTCGCGGTTTTTTCTTATGTGTATAATCTCATTAATAAAGAGTTTAGAAACGAATAAGCAGCGATCTGTGTACTACTCGCTAACCTGTCCACGCAGTATAAAAGCAAAACATAACAAAAAGTTATCGGATTTAATTTTTCTTCGTTATCGGATTGATTAATTATCTCCCGAGAAAATCTTTTAGACGCATTTTTGCGGAGAAATTCGTTAAATTTATCGGTTAAATCGTTCGTGTAAAATTGTTATTGTTGATATTATCTAAACCAAGCGATACAGATTCTCAAACTACTGTGAGTTAGAATCTTTGTCTGAAATCCGTTTCAGATCGCATCTTGCGAACGGCTGGTTAAAATTCGAATTTTGCTAAAAACAAAATTGTGTGTGTGTTTGTCGTTGCCTTGCCTGTCTATTTATTGATTTAACGTTGTGTCTTATCGATTGTTTGTCTCCTTCGACCGAATCGAAGTTTCTGCCTCTGCTGACAAAAATAAAATTCGAAAATTTCGGCTGTTGGATAAAACCGAGAATAAAATCACAAACAAAGAAATATTGTTGACGCTATCGGAGTCGAGATCTATCGATTCGATCGGGGAAAAATATTATCGGAAATATTATTCGCGCGGTGACAAAAACAGCTGGTACGAATCGAGCAAAACAGATTTTGATCGAAGGCAGTTGTTGACGATTCCGACTCGTGTTATTGATTCGCGCTGACCGTGAAACTATTGACGCCTGTTCCGCAAATAATAGCGAGAATTTACGAAATACGCAAGGTAGTCCCGTCAGCATAATTTATATTATATTTTATTTTTGGTTGGGTGTTATCGATTTTGTATTTTATTTTCGACGAATAGTTGGAGTTATCGGTTTCGGTCGCGTGTTATCGATTAATTTTATAGTCGGTTACTTAGTACTTTATTAACCGGGCGAGATCGAAGTTTTTTTTTCTGACCATGGACAAGTCGGACGGGGGTGATAGCGCGGACTTCTCGATGGAAAGAATTGCCTCATACAGTCGGGAGCAATTAATTGACGAATTGCGACGCCGACAATTGCCTACGGAAGGGACGGAGTCGTTGCTAGCCGCTCGTTTGTTGGTGCATGAATCGGATGCACAGAGTACCGCGTTACCACGATCAACCGCGGGGGGAGCGCCAGCTACGGATCCTCCTCCGACCAATTTAGCCACGTCGCGAGGACCGATGCATGATCATGTGCGAGCGAGGTTGGATGCAAATTCTACCGCCTCTGATTATTCTAATCATTCGGCGGAGGATATCGCTCGCACACAGCGTGCTGGTTTAAGTCGGCCTCCTCATTGGTCAAATACGTCAGCTTCGCCCGGCGCCTCCGCGGCGTACCATATAATTCGAAAATGGAACTTAAAATTTTCGGGCGCGCGCGGAGAGTACGCGGAAGCATTTTTAATACGTATTGAGGAAGGGCGCGACCTAATGCCGGTCAGTGACGTGGAGTTGTTACGTTGTATGCCATTTTGTTTGACTGGCATCGCGTTGAATTGGTATCGGAGTAAGAGAACGACTCTGTTCACATGGGAGGAATTCAAAACGGCATGGCGAACGCGATTCGGCGATCCTGATTTTCAATTCGCGCTTCGAAATGAGATTCTGCGAAGAACGCAGGGGGAAAGTGAACCGGTCGCTGATTATTTGACCTGCATGATTGCCTTATTCGACCGTCTGTCACCACCATGGTCTGAGCGGGAAAAACTCGATTATGCGCATCGGAATATGTTGCCGAAATTACTGGTAGCTATTCGTCGCCACGAGGTGTTAGATTTAGATACGCTTGAAATTCTCGCTACGCGGGCAGAATGTTCGTATGACGCGGTCAAGCGATATCAACCCCCTCCTGCCCCGGATAAATCTTTATTTCCGGATTTAGCGTACCGAGCGCCGAAAGGAGGCGGTAAATCGCGAGAAAAAGATACGCTGGCAGCTATCGGCGTATCGGAAGAAAAATCATAGAAAAGCGAAATTCGCGAACAAAGGCGGAGGGGCAGAAACGAATACTCGAGCGAATAATAAGATTAAATGTTGGAATTGTGGCGAGGAAGGCCACGTGTCTAGAAATTGTCCGAAGGAAGCAAAGCAACACTGTTACAAATGCGGAAAAGCAGATGTAACGACGCGCACTTGTAATAATTGTGCGGGAAACGCGTAGGCGGAGCGAACCGTGGGGAAGGTTCTGCTCCGAATTCCGCGAATTCTGCGACACATCCCCCTAACCCACTGTCTACTAAGGTTTACGAGCTCTCGGTGAGCGCGTTTAACAGTAATTCATCTATCGGGTTATTTTACTTGAATATTATAATTCACGGAATTACCATCAATGGTTTGGTAGATTCCGGATCGAGGCAAACTTTTCTAAGTTCGTCCGTGTTAAATAAATTACGAACAAAAATCGGTGACGCGGAGTTGAAATTGCAACCGTCGCAGGGGAGGCGTGTGACGACCGCGACGGGACAGATTAAAAATCCGTGCTGAATTTGAATTACCGATTACGTTGCGAGGAAATACAAACATATTATCGGTTTGCTTTTTGCCTACGTTAGCTCAAAATTGTATACTCGGTATTGACTTCCTGAGCGCGTTCGGAATAAATATTGATTTCGTCGCGGCGCGTTGGAATTTTTCGCGAAGTATATCGGAGAAATTCGAGTTTGATACAAGTGATAATAATGCTACGTCGTTATCGGAGGGAGCGGATGTAAATGCATCTTGCGCCGCTATCGGTAACGCGAATAAAGAACACACGTTATTAAAAGATACGCAGAACTCGGAAGTAAAAGAAAACTCACGCGATGAGAATATCTTGTCAGTAAATAGCGACTCAGCTGATTGTCAGATTCCGCGCGCGGCGCGAAGTAAACATCAGCTGAGCGAGGTCAACGACCGGAATACCTTGTGTTGCGGGTTATCGGAGCTATCGGTTGTCGAACAGAAATATTTGCAGCAATTCTTGAATCAAAATATAACGGGTGATCCTGATAAACCGGCTGTTACGACACTTACAAAACATCGGATTGAAGTAAACGGGCACGCGCCGATTAAACAGCGTTATTATCCGGTTTCGCCGAAGATACAAGAGGCTTTATACGCTGAAGTAGATAAAATGTTAGATGCGGGAATAATTGAGCCGTCGAGTAGCGATTGGTCGACTCCAATCGTAATGGTAAAAAACCGAACGGAAAATACAGATTCTGTCTCGACTTTCGTAAATTAAACGCGGTAACAAAGAAAGATGCTCATCCGCTGCCGTATATGAACGCGATTCTGGATAAATTACGTTCCGCGCATTATATTTCGACCATTGATCTTAGCCAGGCGTACTTCCAAATACCTCTGGAGGAAAATAGTCGCGAATTAACTGCGTTTACGGTACCGGGAAGGGGGCTTTTTCAATTCACGCGTATGCCGTATGGATTGACGAATGCACCAGCTACGTTTCAAAGATTACTCGACAAATTGATCGGACCGGAAATGGAACCGCATGCATTCGCATATCTTGACGATATTGTGATCGTCACACAAACATTTGACGATCATATAGAATGGCTGCGGCGAGTTTTCGACCGTATTAAAACAGCAGGGTTGACAATTAATCCCGAGAAGAGTAAATTTTGCCGCTCGCAGGCAAAATATTTAGGCTTTTTAGTCCAGGAAGAAGGGTTAATGGTGGATCCGGACAAAACGGCGCCAATTATCGAATATCCTCCCCCGCGTACGATTAAACAGCTTCGACGATTTATCGGCATGGCCTCATGGTATCGGAGATTTATACCGCAATGTGCGACTGTGTTAGAACTACTGACTCGTTTACTGAAGAAGAATCAGTCCTGGGAGTGGGGGGATTCTCAAAGGGACTCCTTTGAAAAAGTGAAAGAAATTCTAACCACTGCTCCTACGCTATCGTGTCCAAACTTTGAGAAACCGTTCATATTGCAAACAGATGCAAGTATGGTGGGTTTGGGCGCGGTGCTGTCGCAGAAACATGACGACGGAGAACACGTCATTGCGTTCGCGAGTCGTGCGCTGACGGATGCAGAAAAGAAATATACGACGACTGAACAAGAGTGTCTAGCAGTTATCTGGTCGATAAAAAAATTTCGACCTTACTTGGAAGGTTATCGGTTCCAAGTGATAACAGATCACAGTAGTTTGAGATGGCTGCATAATTTGAAAAACCCGACAGGCCGACTAGCTCGATGGGCGCTTGAATTGCTCGAATACGATTTCGTTATTGAGCATAGGAAAGGGGCAATGCATCATGTTCCCGATGCATTATCGCGAATATACGAAAATTCGGAAACAGAGATTCTCATGGCTATCGGTGAACCAGCGTTGAGCTGGTATGAAAAAAGAAAACGCGATGTTATCGGATCACCGCGTAGATTTTCGGACTGGCGTATCGTTAACGAAAAATTATACGTGTGTAAACCGCATCGTTATCTATCTCAGATCATAGATGATCGAGATAGATGGAAGTTGGTCATTCCGGAGGATGATAGATTGAAGGTGTTGCGAGAATCACACGACGAGCCACAGGCGGGTCATCTGGGCGTCGAAAAAACTTACCAGCGGGTAGCGACGCGATATTTCTGGCCGCGGATGTTTCGGGACGTACATCGATACGTCAGAAAATGCGAAACATGTCAGAAAACTAAGGTGGAACAAAATGTTCCAGCGGGATTAATGGGAAGGCGAACGGTCGAAATACCGTGGACAGTGGTCGCCGCGGATATGATGGGTCCGTTTCCGCCGAGTAAAGCAGGAAACGCGTACGTACTTGTTCTACAAGATCTATTTACGAAATGGATC